ATATATATATATATATATATATATAACTAGTACAATACCCGTGTATTACACGGGTGTTGAATTAGAAATCTTTTGTAAAAAATATTAATTTTTTTAAAACTAAAATAATTTAATTTTATATAAAACATTACTTTATATTTTAATTAAATCGTCAAATTATATTTTTTTAATCATAATAATTAAACACCCATACATTAAATGAAAATGTCAACCCGTGTTGAATTTTTTTACTTTTATCATATAAAAATATCGATATTATTTACTATTACATAAGTACAAAAATATATATCATAAATAAATAAAAATAATATGGTGATATGTATATGCATAAGTGTAGAATATGTTTATTTAATATTAAACAAATTAGATTAATTTTTTTACTTAATTAGATGTCTAATATATATCAAGTGTCGCATCAGTCGTGATTCACAGTTTTGTAAGTTTATATGTAATTTTAGAATTTATATAAATTCTAATATTATTTTTATTACATTGACAACATATCAATTAGATTTGAAATAAATATCATTTTTAAAAGAATACATACCAATTTTTATTACTTTATAATATAATTTATAGTTTTATTTGATATAATTTAATTTAGTTTGATAAATATATTTAAATTTATTTATAAAGATTTATATTACTGTTTTGTATTATATATATTAATTTATATATATATATATAAATAAATTTTATTTGTATATATATATATATATAAAAATAGTAAAATACAAACGGACTTCGTAATATCAATTCAAATGCAACAGTATTAAGATTTTTTTTCTTGACAATATTAACCCTATTTAATGGATGTTATGGGAAACGATGGAGATGGGATATGAAGAGACACTGTGTATTAGATGGAGGGTTAAAAATGGAAAAATATGAACAAAATATCTAAAACGACATTTATTTTATCAATGATCAATTAAGCCAAAGTGACAAATAATAAAAATAGGAGGGAGTATATATTATTATATATTTTAGTATGACACATATTTATTTTTTAATTAATTTAAATAAATAATTTTTTATTATTATAAAGATAAATATAATTTATTTATTTTATATATAATAATATGGATGTCAAATCGAAGCTCATTAAAAGATTATTAATTTGATATATTATATATGTAAAAGCGATAAGAAATACAAAAGTTATCAACTTTTAAAATATATTTTCAATTCAATGGTTATAGTAGGAAACGATATTAAAATAAAATTAATATAAATATTAATTTATATCCAAGCCTAACTCCAAAGCATGATTTTTTGTCAAATAAGATTCTGAAGCATGAAAGTTTGCCACATAGGCTCAGCTCATTATGAAATTATATATAGAGGGGATTACTAGCTGATACATTTAATAAAACATTTAATAAAACCTATTTTCATTTTTCTTCAAAAGGACTTACATTTTTTTTAATTAATTACTCACTAATATGCTAAAACCGTTTCACCTTAATATATATATATATATTTATTATTTATTTTTTAGATCAGTTACTAAATTAATTCTAAATTTGGTAGCAAAATATTCAAATGTATAACGGCTAATGTTGGAACTTAAAGTTGATTGGCACATTCAGAGCTGTAACCGCTATATTTGGTTGCATTGTTGGAAGAAAAATATGATTGTCACATATTTTTTTTCTAAACATCATAAACACCAATAATTTTTTTATTTATGTTAATTTTCTTAATATATGCCACAAATATATAAATTATTTTATTCTTGTTACTAATGTAAACGCTGCATGGTTAAAATAAAATTTAAAACTCAATTAATTTTGAATTATAAAAATAACTTAAGAAAAAGTAATAATTTTTATATGATAGAAATACATGTCTAATTAATAAATACAAACAAAAACGTGTTTTATATCTGTGCAAATGCACATGATCAAATACTAGTTCATAGTAAGAGTGTAAATATATTCTCAAATTCAAATTATTCTCACTCAGTTTGCAGTAAGTCTCATAAGTTATATCACACAATAATTCATCTCCAATCGAAAAACTCATTTTCAATTCAAAATAGTCTTTTCGGAATATTGGTCAAGCAGCTTCGTAATAATAGGTAACCTCTCATCTCACAAAACGTATGTTGATTGCATCATGCATGCCAAATATGTACTATACCTTTGGATTTAAATTGTAATTTATTTTGTTTCATTAAAAAGTTATATTATATTTAATTTTTAGCTTATGTAAATATAAAAATAGCTAAAAGAATATAGTAATTGTAATTCATATATTTATATATACGTGTATATACACACACGTACACACACAGGGATTGGTTTCAATGAGTCCACTTGCTTAAAGTGAATATGTGAGACTCAATCCTAGCCATTAAATAGGGATCAAGATGTTTGGTCAAGATTTAATTTTTTTATTTTATACTTTAATTATTTATATATTAATTTGACTATTTGATTATTGTCCATTGACTCCGGCATCGATCGCCGACTTATGGCGTTAACTGTTGACCATAGTATACATTATGTATGGAGTAAATATGTGTACTTATACACTTGGTATGAATTAAATATACATTTTTTATCAACTAAATGTGTAACAATAATATCAATTGAGTATGCACTGATCACGAACTATTCTTAAAGTCCTTTATTAATAAAATACTTAGTGGTATTTACATTTTTGCTATTAAAAATGTATTATGTATAAGGAATTTTAGTCTGCTCACTATTCGATTAGAATTTTTAATTATTAAAATTATTCTTAAAGTCCTTTATTAATAGAATAATAAATGGTATTTACATTTTTCTCATTAAAAATATAGGTACAGATAGATAGAAATAGATAGTTAACTTAACTTATAATATTTTAATTACACATTTAAAATTATTATTTTGGGAGTGGAACAAAAGTTTTCCGTCGACTTATTGGCCTCAGACCACGCTAGCTGTCAATGGAAGCCTCTTTCAGACCAAAAAAGATGGTAAAACGTAAAGAAAACTGTGGTACGCGTAACTTCTCGCATCTCCAAGGTTAGTCCATTACATTTTTCATAAATCAATAAATAAACTCAAAGCTTTTTTGACCAGAAAATATAAACCTAAAATATCAACAATAAACTACACTGTAAAATCCCGACCTTAATAAAAAGCGCCTAGACCTCATGAACAAAAACAAAACCAAATTAGAATAAGAAAACGAAAGAGATAATTTTTTTGCAAATTTTCACCTGTTTCTCGCTGTGATTATATATATTTATATTCTGATATATTTTTTTCCAAAACCTGGAAGTAGCTCGGTTCAGTTAACCTAGTTACCAGGCCACGCCGGAAAATGTGGATTTTCCGGTCAGTCTTTTGGGTTTTCTATATTGTCCTGCTTTGCTCATCGGCAACTTTAATCGGTGGTCAGAGTTCTAAGAGAAGCTGGCAAACGCTTAACGGTAGAACATCTCTCGCTCTCTCTCTCTCTCTCTCTATATATATATATATATATGTAGCGTTATTTGTTGGTGCATTTTCATTTTTATTGCATTTCATGCATTGTTCACTCTGCTTTTTCCTTTTTCTTATTTGTATGGATTTTATTTCTCCGAATTAGGTATTATGTCTAGCCACTACCTCGATGTATTTATCTCAAAAAATATAGAATTTTATTAGAAGAAAGTCAT